GGGTTGAATTTTTTTAGCGCATATTTGTTTCAAGAGTGTCAGGAAAAATTTTCAAGTGCAATTAATGAAGTTAACATTGATTTACTGTCAAAAAAGTCGCATTTTTTCACAAAAAACGCGCGCGCGCACGCACTTTTGCTCAGATTCCTTCAAAACCAAAAAATGCACGTAATATACATAATTCTGAGTTTGCATGCAAAAAATCAGCCTCCTACGACAATTCTAAGTTATGTTTAAACACTGTTTAAATTTTCCGGAGAGTAATACGTTTTGTGGCCCCCCCCCCTTAAATAATAGTTTTAGTGGGGAAAAAATTTGTTTTAGGTAATCAAGTAAGAAAAGGATGAAAATGCTTGGCTTCTAGTGTCCAATTTTTCATCATTTCCCCAGGGAATAATTTTTTAAACTACTTCTTAAACATTATACTACGACGAATATGGACTTGAACATAATTTCTTAAACATTATTATCAAAGGTTGCAAACATAGGACGGTATTTTAAGGGGAAGTGCGGTTCATTAAAGCCGTAACAGTGACTTCATTGTTAACTTTTAAATTTTTCAGAAAACACAAATTTGTATTTCTTTATAACAAAAACAAAACAGTGTACAAATATACCACGTGATAAAAGAAACAGAGCAGATTTAAACATTTTAATTCATTCTGAAAAAATCACAGTCTATAAGTTGAATAATTTACCTAGTTTTACAATTTTAAAATTAAACATTTCTAAATTTAAATTTTGCTACTAAAATGGAATGGACGAAGACCAGAAATACTTGGTTTGAATTATTAGAGTTCATAAACAAAATTCTACATAATTCGGATTAATTTTTGAACCAGGTAATTTTTTTTTTAAGAAAAGCGCATTTTTCAAAATTATATTTAGTTTTAAAATTCTTAAGTATCAAAAACTGGTAAAATAAAAAAGTTATTGAATCTCATTGGGACTTTGTACATTAAATCTTTAAATGTAAGTTAAGAATAATAAATTTATTAAAATTTATGGTTAAATTTTAAAATCCAAGGAAAGACAAATTGAGGAATAAACTTAAGCGAAAATATGAAAAAATTCTAATGTAAATATAGAAATAACTTATTTTTGTATTAGATGGAATAGAAACATTGAATAAATATTAAATAAGTCAATGCTGATTTCATACTTTTCGGACTAAAGCTTAAAGAGGTCAAAACATGCCTTTTAGAGGTCAGTTCTAATGCGATATGAAGATCTAGTTCTAACAGTTTCTCAAACCAAACTTTTTGTATGTTGTGAGACCTCTAACAGGGTCTCAGGATCAACATGTCTGACCTCTGGTTGTGAAGGAGACCTTTCATGGGACCTCTAGATCTCTATGTCAGACCTCTGGATTTGTAGAGACCTCTTGAAGGACCTCTAGATCCACATGTCTGACCTCCGGATGTATTGGACGCATCTTGAAGGACCTCTAAATCCACATGGCTGACCTTGTGGTAGAGGGCTCTTAAAGGGCCTTAGATCAACATGTCTGACCTCCAGATGTGGTGGAGGGCTCTTAAAGGGCCTCTAGAACCACATGTCTGACCTCCGACTGTGATGGAGGGCTCTTAAAGGACCTCTAGATCCACATGCCTGACCTCGGGATGTTTAGTTTTGAGATTCTTCTCTATCCGATCAACCTCCTGTCCGAGACAATCGACGATGTTCTCCCCGTGTTTCAACAAGAACTCCTCGGCATCCTACAGTATACAGAATACAACTTGTTGGAGGGGGGCAGGGTTTAGGTATNTTAAAGATAAGAATTTTAATTCTTTGAGGGGTAAAATTATGGCATTTTCAACATTTGCAGTGAGAATTTTAGTTTTTTGGGGAGGTCACCCTCTCACACAGGAGTACGGAAGATCTCTCATTTATTCAGGATTATAAAATCATAATCTCGGAAAAAAGAGTTGAAATTGATACGAAAAAATAACATTCATATTTTATTTTTTTGTGTACTGGTGATAGGATAATTTTAGTTACTAGCTTTGATAAATAAAAAATAAATAAATGGTGGCTTAAACATTTCTTAATGGAAGGAACAGAAAAAAAACACATATTGGATGGTCAACCTTTCTTAAGCCAATTACAATGAAATATCTAATATTTCTTAGGCTCTAATTTAAAAAAAGTTCTGTCTTTTAAAAGACACAATTTCTGAGCTAAAAATTAATAAAAAACGAGAAGTTCAGATAGTTAACTTATTCTGGACTTACGGCAATACTATCCGAACCTAGTTCAACCCCTTCTCCATGTAAATAAAACTATTACAAGTACAAGAATGTTTACCTTCTCATTTTGAACAGATTTGATACTTCGTAATATTTCCTGTCGAGTTTATGCATTCTTTCACGAAATCTTTTTATATATAATTTGAGACCTTATAATTAAGTCCAAATTGCTTAAACTTGTTTCAAAGTTCCAATACAAAGTTTTTAAAATCATAAAATGGAGTGGATACTAAGGGACCGAATGATAAAATCCCGCAGGTGCAATTGCCGATATTTACAGTTGACTAAAATGGCTAAATCTCGAAGATACAAAAAGGTCGAATTTTCATATGTTTATTATTTTGAGAAAATGTAATTTTTGCCATTTGTAATTCGGTCTTTTGTATCCACTCCTATAAAGGGAATTTAAAAGTTTGAGAGAGAGAGAGAATCCATAATTTTCCTGAATATTTTGTTTCTGAAGATAGGAGCGAGCCAAAGCTCTTCCATCAAAATCTATTTCAGCCTTGTATCTAAACAGATTAAAGAAACTTAAATCTAAACAGATTAGAGAAACTTAAATCTAAACAGATTAGAGAAACTTTAAAGGGACTTGTATCTAAACAGATTAAAAAAACTTAAATCTAAACAGATTAGAGAAACTTTAAAGGGACTTGTATATAAACAGATTAAAGAAACTTAAATCTAATTAGATTAGCGAAACTTTAAAGAGACTTGTATATAAACAGATTAAAGAAACTTAAGTCTAAGCAGATTAGAGAATCTTTAAAGGGACTTGTATCTAAACAGATGAAAGAAACTTAAATCTAAACAGATTAGAGAAACTTTAAAGGGACTTGTATCTAAACAGATGAAAGAAACTTAAATTTAAGCAGATTAGAGAAACTTTAAAGGGACTTGTATATAAACAAATTAAAGAAATTTAAATCTATGTAGATTAGAAAAACTTTAAAGGAACTTGTATATGAACAGATAAAAGAAATTTTAAAATTAAAACAAGTGTCATAACTAATTCAACAATTGCAGAGTTTTAGAACGATTAAATTAAGTTAGAGAACATTTAACAGAAAAACTGCCGAAATTCTCAAAAAAAAGAATTATGCTGGATTCAGGGGTATAAACAGGAATTTGTCCACGGGAGGCTTAAATTTTTTTCTTTCCAGGGGTCTGAAAGTGAAAACCACATGGAAACCATAGATTTCATTGATCCAGGGGGGAGGGGGGGGGTTAAGTTACCTGACAACTCCATTTCCCATATCTATTCCCTTCACATCATACACCTTAAAAATGAACCATTAGATACCTAATCAGTAAACATAGAGCAATATTAGAAACCGAATCAGTAAACAGTGAGCAATATTAGAAACCGAATCAGTAAACAGTGAGCAATATTATATACCTAATCAGTAAACAGTGAGCAATATTAAATAGCTAATCAGTAAACAGCAAGGAATATTAGATACCTAATCAGTAAACAGCAAGCAATATTAGTTGTTAAATGGCCGGATAAACTTTTTTTTAATTTATCTAAAAAAGAAAAATTATTGGTTAAAAGACCTGATGAATGAATGATTGAATGAATAAATGAATAGATTAAAGAGAAAAAAATCAGTAAAAATAGGAAGCAATAAGAAAAAATATCAAAAAGTAAAAACCAATGTAAAAATTGTAAGAATTGTAAGAAAGGATGAAATACCTGTCTGACCATTATATCGCCTTCTAGTTCCTGATTAATATCCTCTAGTCTACTATCAGGTATAGACCGACCCACTAGATAGATAGATTGATAATTAAATAGATAATTAAATAGATAATTAAATAGATAATTAAATAAATAAATAAATAATTATCCTGTGCCCCTCAGTTTGATCTTAATGGATAGATAGATAGATAGATAAAAATATAGAGCTCAAGGGATTGCATAGATCATAAGGATCAGAGATAATAGAAAGATAGATATATTGACAGCGATAGGATAGATAGATATCTAGATAAATAGATATATATTTCCATAGATGGATAGATAGGACACATCGATAGATAGATACCTAGATAGATAAATAAATATTTTGATAGATAAATAGATAAGATATATTGATAGATAGATACCTAGAGCTCCTGAGTTCGAATAGATCATGAAGGATGCAACGGAACCAAGCAAGGATGCAATAACTAGGGAACCCACGAGATAGATAGATAAGATATATTGATAGATAGATACCTAGAGCTCCTGAGTTCGAATATATCATGAAGGATGCAACGGAACCAAGCAAGGATGCAATAACTAGGGAACCCACGAGATAGATAGATAAGATATATTGATAGATAGATACCTAGAGCTCCTGAGTTCGAATATATCATGAAGGATGCAACGGAACCAAGCAAGGATGCAATAACAAGGGAACCCACAGCATCAGGAATATGGGAACCTTAAATATAAACTAATAAAGAAAATTACACGGTCAAGTTTAAGTTTTTCAAGTGACCCTCCTTGCAAAGATGGCAATGTTAGATTCACAACAGTACCTCTTAAAGCTTTATCTGATCAAGTATAAATTGAATAAAAATGTTAATAATTTTGAAATTGATTACTTTCATTTGTGGGTTTTCTACAAAAGCGACCTGCGCATTTCTTCTACAGGAACAATATAGAAATTATGAGAATTAAAAATTTTTAAATATCAGAATAATACCGTATTATGGAGTGTTTTTTAGATTTGATGGGAACGGAAATATTGGGCGTAAACCAGAAGTTTTTTAATCCTTTGTATACTTCATCCTAAGCAATTATTTTTTCTGCAACCCATAATTAAACGATTTCAATAAGTTTTGCAAAAATTTGTTTCAAGGTACTACTAGACGTCTAGAACTTTTTTTCCATTCCGAGGCCGAATTTAAAGAATTTAAGCCGCCGCTCAAATATGGTTGGTTCCACTTAAATTTGTATTAATTTAAACCGGTTTTAGGGGGATTTAAGACGTGGCTTAAATTCATTAAATTCGGACACCAGTTAACGAACTATAAGCAGACCTCGAAGAACCTCATTTTATTGATTCACTAATAAAATAAAGAATGGAAATAATTTTGAAATATCAGGATGAAGGCTAGGGAATGGGATGAATTTTCATGAAAACTAGTTATTAATAAAAAATATAAAAAATAATAGAATATCCAACCCTGATTTACCTGTATAATATGAAAGACTCATGCACCCTCCTGCCACCATAACACCTTCAAAAAAAAAATGTATTCAGTCAGTTTCACTAAAGTTCTTTAGTTTAATTAAATCAAAACCAATTTCATTATAACTCGATCACAATTTTTTTTTTTGGGGGGGGGGGGTGTTTTCCATCCCCCCCCCCCCCTGTGATTTTTCTAAAATAACTTAAAAACTGCCAACATTAGTACGCTCACACTTCTTCACTTCTTTTACTTAATAGGTGTGAACACATTTTGTTTAAAGTTTTTTTTTTGAATAGGCTAGGGTGGAGGACAGCCCAGCGGTGTCTCAAAACATCCGAAATGCTTCATACTAAAATTTAACTAAAATTATCAGTCTAATCAAATCAAAGTCAATGTAATTTTTGCCAAAATTCTTAAGTTTGATTAATTCCAAATCAATGTTATTATTACCAAAGTTCTTAAGTTTCATGAATTCCAAATCAATGTCATTTTTACAAAAATTCTTTAGTTTAATTAATTCCAATTCAATGTCATTTTTACCAAAATTCTTAACTTTAATTAATTCCAAATCTGTCATTTTTACCAAAATTCTTCAGTTGAATTAATTCCAAATCTGTCATTTTTATCAAAATTCTTCAGTTGAATTAATTCCAAATGTAATTTTTACAAAAAATTCTTCAGTTGAATTAATTCCAAATCTGTCATTTTTACCAAAATTCTTCAGTTGAATTAATTCCAAATCTGTCATTTTTACCAAAATTCTTCAGTTGAATTAATTCCAATCAATGTAATTTTTACAAAAAATTCTTCAGTTGAATTAATTCCAAATCAATTTCATTTTTACCAAAAATCTAAAGTTTAATTAATTCCAATTACTTTAACAGCTCATTGTTCAGTTTAATAAAATCCAAATCAATTTCATCTATAAAAAAACTTTGCTTGTATGTCTGTATGTCTATGTGTCTGTCTGTTTGTATCCAATAACGTTAAAACGGATGAATCGATCGGACCCAAATTTTGTGTGGGACCTTACATGATGACCCTAGGGAAAGTTTATGGATAATCAAAATTTCAAAAACTAGCCTCCAACAAAACTTGATTTTCATTCACTTTTAGTTTTCGTTTTAAAATGTATACAAGGAGTACATGTTCTATTGAAATAGAAGATAGACGCAAAGCACCCTAGTTATAGCAAAGTTCTTAAGTTTAATTAATTTCATATCAATATATTTTTACCAAAATTGTTTAGTTATTTTTCGTCCTATTATTAACCAGATTTTTGTAAAAAAAAAACGACGTATCTTAACCCCACCCCTCATTAATCATATATATTTATCCAGGACTGCTTCTAGAATCTTCTAAATAAACAACAATATGCTAGATCTTCTAGAAGAACAACATTAACACACGGATCCCAACCACTCCACACAAATTCTAGAAACGTCGTATTCTTTTCCGCAGCGCTCTTTCTAAATTAGAAAGTGTCTATTAGTAAGTAACACGACAGAAAGTTTCAATTGGTAAGTTGATTTAAAAGTCAACCTATAGCATAATTGCATTGGTAAGTCACCTGATGGAATATTTCCATTGGTAACCCGATGAAATATTTAATTGCATTGTAAAGGCATCCTTTGGAAAGTTTCCGTAAGAAAATCATACTCCAGTTTTTTTTGTCTCACTGTAATTACCTTATACTCTGAACAGCCAGGTAGAGCGTGACACTCTCTGAGATGAAGCTGACCCCTAGGATACCAAGGGCTATGCTGATACTCTCCAGCTGATGAGGGTTGGTTAAACCAAGAATACCGTGATACGCAGATAGTCCTTGAATTAATATAATCAAACTAAAATCCTAGATCAACCATAATATGTCAAAACTATATATTTTTATTAAATACATGGTTGAATTCATTTAGTGATTTTCATGAAATTTATCAATAAAATTTCAGTCAAAATAATTTGCGGATAACGGAAAACTTTTTGCACCACCAAATTGACATAAGTTTTACTTATGTTTTAATCCCCCAATGACCCGATTTTTCTAGGTTTTACGTGGATTTCAATGCATATTTTTCCGCCAACTTTTCCTACAGTATTCAAAGTTATAATCAGGGAATTGGAAATTGATTTAAACATGCATAGATATTTTGTACTCACCCGATCCTATACAGAATATCCCGACCCCTGAAATGAGCGCTGTAACGTACTGCATATTTGAGTATCCGTAGGGATGATCCTTGCTAGGGTTCTTGGTCGAATAGTGGATACCGTAGGCCAGGATACACTGAATATATCAATCAATCAATCGATAAATCAATCAATCAATCAATCAATCAATCAATCAATCAATCGGTCAATCAATCGTTCACTCGGTCAATCATTTAATCAATCGACCACATCGCAATCTCAAAATGACGCTACTAATTTACATGACACTGTACACTAGGGGGTATCAATTAATCAAAAGTACTATATATAGACACACAGAATTTGATAATCTTAAGAAGAAAAAATGTAATTATGGAAATTCTGAAAAGAGATAAAGTATTCTTTAACTGTAATAAAAATGTCCGTCCTTCGGCGGTTATTTTCCATGGAATTATGGTTGATATTTTATTTATTTATTTAAACCAGGGGGTATGAATTAATTAAAGAAACTATATCTACGCCAATGAGCCACCAGCTAAAGAGTTCCATGTCCGATTTACAAAGATACCATAAAACCTTTTTTTATCTGATTTAGTTTTTATCAAACTTGAAAAAGGTCCAATTCTAACAATTTCCTCTGTTTCTCTTTACAGAGAAACAAATGTTGGATTTCTAGTTAATTGAATTTTTTTATGGGTACTGTGGAGAATAGAACATGGAGAGAGAGATTGATTACGTGAATTATTACCTGGTTCAAAGTATCAGCAAGACTATGAATAGCTTCAGAAAACATAGAATGGGAACCTAAAAGTTAAATTAGTTTTCAGGGGTGTATAATGTAAGTTGTATATTTAGTAAATATACTTGTAAATGTTATTTACAAGTAGTGCGGGGATTACCTAATCCTTATCATAATATCAAATCAATAGGGATGGCCTATGGCTCCAGTTGTGGTTCGAAGTTTCAAGTCCTCCCCATTCCTGGTTTTTCAGCCCTGGCCTTCTGTTTAAACGGTAAATATACATTTAATGCTACTTTTTGTTTACTTTGTAGATGCGAAGCGCCCAGCCACATGACCAAATTTGAGCCATGCCCCACTTTAGAATACCTAACATCCAAGGATTGCTACACGGTTTGTTAAGTTTGGATGCTGGGTATTTCCCTTGCGAGTTTTACCGTTTTTGTTAAGTTGTCCAGTTAAATATTAATCCAGTTGAATATTCATATTTAATTATCATTTGTTTTGGCTTCCAGTTTTATCTTTGATCATTTTAGTCTAGTCTAGTCTAGTCCAGTTTTAATTAGATCGTTCGTTTGGACAATAAGAAGATTAATTTCTGAATGTCTTTGTTAATCAAAATTGGCTGTAAGCTCCAAATTAAGTAAAAAAATTCTTCTTGTATTGACATTGCTTAATCTGAGGCTTGGGTATTGAAAAAAGATTTTTACATGAACATTAGATTTAAACAATTGTTCCCTGAACATTATATTTAAATGCAAAGAATTTATTAATTAGGAAAATAAAAAGAAGTCGTATAAAGCTTCTGACTGCTCAAAGAACTATTAAAAATTAGGAGTCAAAGTCAAAAGTCTTTCAGAAAAGGTAAAACCTGAAGAAGAAAAAAATTTACAAATTTTATTAAATTTCTTCGGATAAATGAAGGGCAAAAATAATTTAACTAAAAAAATAATTTACTTCATAAGGACCAACATTCAATACACGCCACTCCCACACTACCCTCCCTACCGGAGGGGGCCGGGTAAAGGGGAATGAAAGATTTTTAAAGGATAAAATTATTTTTCCCAGTACATTGAAAAATCATATAAAAAAACTTGCCATATTCAAGAAAAAATATACCCCCAGCAATTACCTGTTAGGACACAGGCTACCAGTTTTATTCCAAAATTTGCGGTGTTAATAAATATTGCAGATAAAACAACTTTTCCAGAACTTCCTAAAACACTTTAACTTGATACATTTATCAAAACAGCTTTACGAAACACTGTTTAATTAGATTGAATAGAAAATAAAAATAAACCTTTTCGAATTCTAATAATCAAAATTGTAACATGCACAGTTAATATAATTAATTGATAATTATCTAATCTAAGTTGACCTGTTATGCCTCCTTTGTCCTTTAAATTAAGATTACGAACTGGCCAGGTTTCTCGGGACAGTTTCTCCTCTTTCTTCTTCTCTCTCTCTCGAACCTTTATATAGAAAATAATTTATTTTTCATCCTGTGTCCGAATTTAATGAATTCAAGCCGCGTCTCAAATCCCCCAAAAAACGGTTTCAATTGAGCGTCGGCCTAAATCTTGAAAAATTGATCACAAATTAAAGTGGAACCACCAAAATTTCAGTCTCGTCGGCTTTAATTCTTTAAATTCGGCCTCTGGTGTTTAATTTGTCTGGATATTAGATACTTTCCAAAATTAAGATTTTTAAAAATAAACATTTTTAAAAGTAACGTTTTTAAAACAAACATTTTTGAAAATATACATTTTTGAAAATAATCATTTTTGAAAATAAACATTTTTGAAAATATACAATTTTAATAATAGACATTTTCCAAAGCTAAACATTTCCCTAATTTAACATTTTTAAAAAATAAACATTTTTAAAAATTGTACATTTTTTAAAATAACCATTTTTAAAATAATCATTTTTAAGAAAAAGCATTTTCCAAAGCAAACATTTTTCAGAATAAACATTTTCCTAAGAAAGCATTTCCCTAAAAGAACATTTTCAAAAAAAAACATTTTTAAAAATAAACATTTTCCACAATAAACATTTTCCACAATAAACATTTCCCCAATAAACATTTTCCATGAACATTTGCGCAGATAAACAATTACCACAAAAATATTTTCCCAAAAAAATATTTTCTACTGTCCTAATATCATGATCTGAAATAATTTAGTGACGAAAGTGCATTTCCGGGAAAATACAGAATCCGTTATATAATTTATTTCCGGGAAAATACAGACTCCGTTATATAATTTATTTCCGGGAAAATACAGACTCCGTTATATAATTTATTTCCGGGAAAATACAGACTCCGCTATATAATTTATTTCCGGGAAAATACAGACTCCATTTTATAATTTATTTCCTCGTGAAACTTTGACAGGGTATATACGGTTCTCAAACTTAAAGGGACTGTAAGCGTAATTTCAAGTGACCCTCAATGTAAATAATGTCAATACTCGATTCACAACGCGCCCTTGAAACCTAGATCATGTCAATAAATTGCATGATATTTTAGTTTTTCTTGCAGTGTTTACTTCTAATAATTTCCATTTGATTTCCTGCAGTGAAAGTGGATAAGTCCCTTTATAGAGAAACAACAATAGAAAATAATTAGTTTTCAAAATTATAAACATTAATATCTAATTCATACTTGATCAAGGCAAGGATAAAGTTTTGATTCAGGAGTTGCCATCTTTGCACGGAGCGTCAATTGAAATTATGCTTAAAAAGTCATGATAACCACACTGAGACGGATCATGGCTGAGTGTACTTTATACAACATCGGCAACAGTTCTAAAAATTCTTAACTCAATCATTATTTCGAACTTAAAGGGAATGCATGAGTAATTTCATAACATTTATAAGATGCATATCCGATATACAACGGTACCCTTGAAACCTGTGTCCTGACAACGACAACCCTCATGTGTAATGTGTATAGCTGAAGGAGACTCGAGGTTACACTGTACATTGTACAGTGTACGTACACTGTCGCGGTTTCTTGGCACTTGATTTCCTGTTTAATAAATAAGAATATCTACCAAATCCTCCATCAAGCAAAAGTTTAAAGGGTATCGTATTAAATCGGACATGCCACTCTATAAATGGAAGGTCACTTGAAATTACGCTTACAGTCCCTTTAACAACGTACACAAAATTCCAAGAGAAAGGAAAAACAATTGTCACCTGATCAAATAATAATTTTTTGTAAACAGGAAAATAATTCTCCGCTTCGCCTCTCTCTTTTATTTCTCTTTCAATTTCAACCTGGTAAGGTTATAAAAAAGTAAAAAACACAACAAAACAAAAAAAAATTAAAAAAATAAAACAAACAATTAACAAACCTTTTCTAAAGATCCCCATTTCTGCACGGCTTTGGATTCGACATCTTTGAGCCAATAAACCTAGAAGAATATCCACAGGTATGAGCATTGATAAAGTTTGTTCCTTTTACAAAAATCAATTTTCTCCCTTAAATGTTGTTAGGAATGTTTTAAAGATTTATTATGACTACAGAGTGAGAATATATATCTTTTTATGTCATTGAAATGGGTATTATTAGTACAAAAAAGTTTTTGGCTGGATTTTTATTTTTTCTAGTTTGTTTAAGATCAAAATGAAAGTATTTTTACACCGAAAGTAGTGAAGTGTGAAAATACTTTTATTTTGATAGAAAACAAACTAGAAAAATTAATGATCACAGCAAAAACTTTTTCGCACGCATGAAACCCATTTCAATAACATATATAGTTTTATTCAATTTTAAAAGCAGGTCATAAAGTTACTTAATCACTGTTGTAGGATGATTAAGTAACTTTATCACCCTTCAATGAGAAAAATTAGGTATGCAATTTGAATAGCATTTTGTGAAAAAGTGACTTTTTCGCCCTGTTGTAGGGCGATAAAGTCGCTCAATCACCCTTCAACGGGCAAAAATTAGGTGTGATAAATTCCATCAAAATTGAATAAAACTATATAGTTGCAAGTTAATTTCCCATTTATAATTTTTACCTCCAAACCAGAGCCCAGCATTTTTTGGTGTGAGATGTAGGCACCCAAGATGGGACACTACGCCTCCCCCCCCTTCTAGGCACCCAAGATGGGACACTACGTCTCCCCCCCCCCTTAAAAGGAAACTTTTGAATCGTGGATGTCGATTGATAGATCTCGATCTATCTTGATCTACAGATTAATTTTATCTTTTTTTCCAGTGTACCCTGCAGGAATAACTGAAATGAAGAGAACAAGCATTGATCCTCAAATTAAAAGTGCCCTTAATGGATATCGAGCTATAACGATTGGGATTGTGGGTATCCAACAACACAAATGTTCACAGCTCTGGGGGGACAATTATCTGTTAATTATTTATAAATTCCTCACCTTGTCTGGAATATTAGTATCGAATGCACTTCTTCGAATGGTGACTCTTAACCCAGAAAGTTCATCAGGGGTCAATAAATACTCATTTATAGCTCTCTGCTCGGTTATATAATTCCTAAATAGGATGAATCAACCCATATATAGCTTTATTAGCTAGGGGTAAAAATATGAAAAATAAAAGATTTACGATGAATTAAGTCCCTTGACTCCTTGGACCTGCAATTTGAAAATTATTTTCACATTTTTACTAAGAATCGAAGAAGTACAATTTAATCACAGGTTGACCCAAGGAGATATTGAATAGAAGGAGGGGGCGATAGGGTTTCCGTACACTTTGCTGTTAAGTTTTTGGACTGCTGAAGAACTAGTTTTTGCGTAACAACAATAACAAAGGCAGCCGATCTAATGTAAACAAACATGAGTTAGTAAACTGTGAAAGAGGATTAGATGTCGAAACAGTGGGAGTAGGGTCCATTAGTTTCCATACTCAATACTTGTCGGGCCCCATATTCTCCTCTCCTGAATAAATTCAACTTGTACTACAGCAGAGCGGCAATTTCTTTGAATAGTAACCCTTAATCCAAAAAGGTTAATGAGCTTGGGAGGTCATTACGTTGAATGACATAACATGCAAACAATCTAACACTTAAATCGGCCAGGGAGATATAATAATTGAGTAGGTTCGATGAAGTATACGGGTTCATGAGACAGTTGTAATAAACTTCTATATTACGCTAACCTCACCCCATTCAGTTGGCGGGCAAAAAAACTTCACTTATTTCCATGTCCATAACTGTGGTTCAATGGCTGCAACAACAACAAAAACAACCGCTTGGGAACAATTGTATTGTAAATATTGAGATCAATACATGATCTCAATATTTTGTTTTTCTGTAGATTTAATTGAACTTTTATTCGATATCCAGCAGGGTAATCGTATCCTGAAGTAATAAGTAAAATGAAGAGATTAAGAATTGATCCTCAAATTTTAAATGCCCACAGTAGATATCGAGATCAAGCGATCAGGATAAAGGATATCCAACACATCAGTTTGCAGTTCCCAGCTACCGAGGGGTCAATAAATACTTATTCAATACTTCCCCGCCCCCCCCACTGAAATTTTGTTAAAAATGCGGTATGAATGGAGAAAACACGGACAAAATGAAGTATTTTAAAATTTTAGCCTTTATTATATGTTGAATTTATGCCTGACAGTAACTCCCTCTAGGGTCTCCAACTCATTACAGAAAATATCATACAAAACTCGTCCCTAGAATATAATTAAATTAAATTTAAACTTTTTTTCTAATTCATTATATTCAAACATATTCAAATTTTGACCCTTTAATATTATTATGCAGAGTTTATATTTTTAAATCTTAAATTGCAAATATAAAAAGATTACAGTAAGAGTCGATTTTTCAGTTTCACTTGCTTCTTTTTTATTTAACTGAGAATATTGATTCTAAACTCTGCCCCCTTTTTTATTCCCATCTGATTTACCACTTTTCATTTGAGAATAATAAAAGGTTTCAGAAAAATTAATGAAAAAGTGAAAGAACTTAACAATTCGCGCTCTTCAGATTTTTGTTTGTTTGATGGAGTACGGCAGATTTTTGAAGATGGGTGGTTGTTGTACCTGCTCTGGTGGAATATTATTATGATATTGAACTGAGGATCCTTTCAGTTTACCTCCAAGAGTCGCCTAGAAACAAACGAATGATATATATCTAATATCTAAACAGTTTATACATAATAATTTGCTTTCGATTTTTCAAAATAAACTAAAAAAACGATAATAGAGTTAATAGTTAAAATCGAAGATGAACGTGAAGCGTCCTGGAATCCTAGTTAACACTATGATAACTAATACAATACAACTCAGAAACTATTTCAAGGCCGGGGAAAAAAACATTTAATCTCTGATCATCAATAATTTCTGATAATTATTTACTTTATTTACCTGGGGTATATTTATTATTTACTTTATTTACCTAGGGTTTGATAATTATTTACTTTATTTACCTAGGGTATGATAATTAGTTACTTTATTTACCTGGGGTATGATAATTAGTTACTTTATTTACCTGGGGTATAATCATTATTTCCCCCGCTGTCTCTACAACTGATCCCCTCTTATCCCCTTCTTCTTTCTCTGACAGTTTAATCTGGAAAATGAGTTTTTAATTTTTATCAAATTATCCATAATGAGACTGTTAATGTTTTTCCCATTTTTCCCACTGATTCTTTTCAGGTTATATTATTAACAATAATGACCTTTTTTTCCTAAAGCAAGGAAATCAATTTTTATTAAAATTTAAAGTTATTTATCTTTTTATCCAACCGGTAACCAGTTATTTGTTTTATTCCTTTGTAATATATTTTATACAATTAACCACGGGTTCCCTCGACCAATTTTGCCTACAAAACACTCCCCCCCCCACGTTCCGGATGTTTTATAGGCAAAATAGGAACTTAAAATGTTTTAAATCCCTGTAACGTGGTTGTAATTAATAAAAACAACTTTTCTCTACAACTAACCTGAGAAACTAGTTTGTAGGCTTTCTTTACAGCTTCCTCGTTAGCATCCTAAACAAATTTATTTCAAATATCTCCAGATTACGCCCCCAATCCCCCCACCCCATAATCTCTATAACAATATAAGCATAAAGCAGAAATATGATGAAAATTTCATGAAAATAGATGATTTTGTTCTATAAAAACACGATGTGCATGTGACCCCCCCCCCCCCCCCTGATACATTGGATTGCCCCAGTCAAAATATGCAATTAATCTTCAACCTTGATATTTTATGGCTTCGAGTTGGAATAAACATTGCAATGAAATTTATCAATAATAAAATTTTAAATTAATCTTGAGAGGTCGCTTAACTACAAACAGGCTGTTCATATCCTGATTCATCGAATAAAATCGCATGAATCTTAAACGTGATTCGAGATTTGATTCCATAAAAAATCCGGTCCCAGGAAAAAAAAAATCAAAATGACAATCTATCAAAATAATTAATCAAAACCAACTAAACTAACCTTAAAGAAGCAAATGAAGACGATTACTCCACGCCCTATCTCCAGCTCCTGGTAAGAGGGTAGTTTAAGACGAGCAGATATACACTGTTGGATCAACAGTCTACGTGAACACTTCTTGTACTTAAAATAGGAAATGGTTGAGACCTGATATTGTTTTCTCATGCGGGAAGCAAAGGACATAATTTTGCAAAACTCGCGAATTCCTAGTTCTTGGACTGGAAAAGATCCTCAAATTATGCCTGGCAAATCCAATATGAACCGTTAATTTTAGGATTTTCAGGGGGGAAATCGAAAAATAAATCATCACAATACGACTTTTTTATTATTTTCTAGACCCCCCCCCCCCACCAATGGTGTTCCCATATTCATTGAAGAATAAAAAAACTTTGTGAGGGGGAACAAAAATAAATAAAAAGATATCCCTGCCTTGCAAATTACAAAATTAATTTTCAATTTGATTCCAAATACAATCCGGTGGCACAGTACTGGTTTCTTTAAATGGCATATCCTAATCTAGCCAATTTCTTAAGCAAAAGAAACATTTCCTAATTCATTTTTTTTGTAAAACAAATTGTTTAGATTAAGATGTAAGAGTAGGATTTAAGGAAACCTGTTTTCGGTGTAAATATTGAATTTTGAATCAAGATTGACTAGACCATATGCTCAGGATATAATATTTGAAAATTTTAAAAGTTTTAACTAAGGAGGATTTAGTTGTCTAGATGATATTGTACGACAAATAAATTGTTAAAATAACCATTTAATTGTTTCTAGGGTTGTAGATTCGAATCCTTCTAGTTTAATCGTTTAATGACAAATTATAAAAGCTTCTTCTCTAAACCTTAAGACAGTTCTTTAATATGTACAACAAGATTCCTTAACGCCATTTTAAATTAGCCTGACCAAGCAGAAAATAACTAAAACATTTTTGAATCTTCTGAAAATAAGAACATTATATTTTGAAATTCTTTATCGTAACATATCACAGGAGTTGAAACGTTACATAAATGCAATGATTAACTAAAAACAATTGATAGAACGTTGTCTGCTAATCCGTCTAAATCATTGCAGCAGTCAGCAATACACACACCTAAACAACATATTGCCTGTTACATTGCCAAACATGAAAATGACAGACACCGACAATATTTGGACATACGACATCTTTAAAAAAATATTAACAATGAAATGTTCTCGTAATTTTGTAGTAAACTTCCATCTTAAGAGTGGTAAAGAGGGCTGCCATGACAAATTCACAAGGGTACTCTTGAAAACTTACTCTGATCAATAATGTGGAAGGTAAAGTCATTTTCTAGCCGAAAGTGTCTAATTATGGCAATTCTTCATAGTTTCTAAAGCGAGAAATGCGCAAGTCTCTAAAAAAGAACAATCCCAAATCAACAAAAAACACTTCATAAACAAAAACAAAATGTATATCTAATTAATTCATTAATAATCAGACAAAGCGTTTAATATCTTCAAAATGTATTTCCACATTAGTTTTTCTCGATGAACTTACTAGTTCTGTCCGTAAACGTTGGATTGAGTACAAGGAGTCCAATCACAGAGATCCTCCTCCCTTCATGTGAATAAAATAATTCAGATTTTCAATATCAACTATTTTAAATACTAATATGCCAGAAAATCAAAGTTGCGTACTATTAAAGATTAAAAACCAACAGTGCATTACTGAATTACTAATAAAGCTTAATAATTAGAAAATGATCCTTTCACCCAACAAACTGTACTCTAATATGCAGAAATTTTCTTTTTCTTTCGTGATGAAAAATGTTGGAATACCCAAGCAAACCGGAATTTTGTTCAACAAAATGCTTTCATAATGATAAGAGTAAGAACTATGTACTTTTTATTTGAATATTGTTTTACCAAAACCCTTTAAACTGAACTGTTAACTTGTTAACTAAACAAAAATCTGCTAAAATACAGGAAACAGTGATTTATTATATCCCTGAACCAGAGCCCAATCTCATGTTCAGCGGAATCCACTGCATCACTTCCGTGGATAATGTTACGTCCAACCTAAATATGGGTTTAGGAATAAATATTATCGCATGGATAGAAGTAATGTGAGATGGATGGAAGTATTATTAGCATTGCATGAATGGAAGTCTTGTTACATGGATTGAAGTTTTATTACATAAATTGAAGTATTATTACATGGATTGAAGTATTATTACATGGATTGAAGTATTATTACATGGATTGAAGTATTATTACATGGATTGAAGTATTATTACATGAATTGAAGTATTATTACATGGATTGAAGTGTTGTTAAATGGGTGAAAGTATTGTTACATGGATACGAGAAATGAGAGATGGATGGAAGTAGTATTGCATGGATGAAAGTATTGTTGCATGGATGGAAGTATTATTGCACGGATGGAAGTATTATTGCATTGATGGAAGTATTATTGCATTGATGGAAGTATTGTTACATGGATGAAAGTATTGTTACATGAATGGAAGTATTGATACATGGATAGAAGTATTGTTTAATGGATGGAAGTATTGTTACATGGATGGAAGTATTGTTACATGGATGGAAGTGTTGTTAAATGGATGGAAGTATTGTTACATGGATAGAAGTAATGAGAGATTGAATGAAGTATGATTGCATGGATGGAAGTATTATTGAATGGAATGAAGTATTGTTACATGGATGGAAGAATTGTTACATGGATGGAAGTATTGTTACATGGATGGAAGTATTGTTACATGGATAGAAATAATGCGAGATGGATAGAAGTATTATTGCATGGATGGAAGTATTGTTGCATGGATGGAAGTATTGTTACATGGATGGAAGTACTGTTACATGGATGGAAGAATTGTTACATGGATGGAAGTATTGTTACATGGATGGAAGTATTGTTACATGGATGGAAGTATTGTTACATGGATGCAAGAATTATTACATGGATGGAAGTATTGTTACATGGATGGAAGTACTGTTTGAAGGATGGAAGTATTGTTACATGGATGGAAGTATTGTTACATGGATGGAAGTATTGTTCGGATGGAAGTACTGTTAGAAGGATGGAAGTATTGTTACATGAATGGAAGTATCGTTACATGGATGAAAGTATTGTTAAATAGAAGGAAGTATGTTACGTAGATGGAAGTTCAGTTACATGGATTGTAAATATATTTTTTCCCCATAAGAGAAATGATATTTTTTTTGGGGGGGAAAGCATGAAAAAGGATGAAGAAACTGACTTTTCTTGAAACTCCCAACGCCCCCTACATTAAGGGTGGGGGGAGAGTTGAGGATGTAATTGTTTAAATTATACATTTTGTGAATGATAGGTACTTAATACAAAAAATGATTTTCCGAATTAAAACTTTAAAATATTCTACAGCTGAGTTAAGTTTACCTCGATACAGAAATCTCCCCTGATGGTTCCAGGTTTGCTATCCTTAGGGTTAGTTTCTCCCAACATAACACGTCCTGTCTTGACAGCTCCTAGACCCTCCCAGCACATTGCAACTACAGGTCCAGAGCTCATGTACTTTACCAGTCCAGGGTAGAATGGTCTGAAGTAAACACACGTTGGTTTTATAATGATACTAGTCGAAGTGCCCAACGTTATTGGTGGAAAAAATTCGAATTTTTGCCAGATTTAGCTAAAATCTTTATATATATTATATACATATATACATATAAAATCGAAGAGCTTTATTATATAGAAAATAACCAAACATATATTTAAATTATTTAAATATTTGAGACTTATCTTCGCGGTTAAGAATAAAACATGAAGCCATTAATCTAGGTTTAAAGCTACTTCAACCCAAACTAATTCATACATAACTTGTTAAAATATCTAGATATATTTATCTGTCTTTAAACGTTACAAAAGCGCAATATTTATTTTATTCCTTTTTAGTTAGAGCTTTCTCAATCTTTATTAAATTGCCTGAATACCTTGCAGCTAGGTCGGCGTAGTGAGCCTCCATGTGCTTCTCCCCGGGAGCCATCATCCTGATGGCCACCAGCTTGAATCCTTTCTTCTCAAACCTCTGGATAATATCTCCAACAAGACCACGCTGTACTCCGTCAGGTTTTACCATGATGAAGGTTCTCTCCTAAAATAATTTCAATTTTCTATTTAGTCATATACCGCGGGGGGGGGGGGGGTTTTCAAAGATTTAAGAAAAATTATCATTAAGTCATTAGTTGGCAAGGTTTTCAGCAAAAGTATATAATTTAAAGAAACACCCCCCCCCCCCCCCCCCCAAGACGGGGAAATATAATTGTTGATGATCAGGTGGAAAAATAAAAATTGGGCATTAAAAGGCAACATTTTCAGTACTTTAAATCATTTTTAACCATAACTTATTTTTTTACAAATTAAAATCATTTATTTTCCCCATTTTAGAGAATCCACTTCAAAAAATCTTGTGGAAAATAATGATTTTCAAGAGGAGGGGGGGGGGGTTTCTTTATGAAAATATACACCCATGCGTGTACACCCCTTTGATACTTAATTGATCAAAACTTTTCTTTTCAACCCTTTACCACGTAGAGACTTTCTCCGTCCAGTAGTTCAAGAACCGTATTGATGAATTTGAACTGCCTACCGCCGATTCAAACTTTCCTTAATCTTTTACATTGAATCGGTGGTTCAGATTTAAACCAGCTGTAGGTAGTTCACTTCCGGTTTGGAGATAAATCTGCTTAGGAAATACTCGATACTTATTGTTACAAAAAATTGGTGTCACTCAATTTAAAGAAACATTGATAAGAGATTCCTTTCCCTTGTATGTTTTTTTCTCACCTTGTTAGGGTCCCCAGCAGCATTGAGTTGCATAGGACTCCTCATCTTCTCTCCCATCACCTCGACCAAACTACGCTCATGCCTTAAATAACAAGTAAGCCAGGACCCGTCATATTTAACTAAAATCATTATTAAGTCAATTATTACTTGCTGAAAGCCGGCTTCTGTGTCAAAAATTCTTTCGCAATTCCACCGGCAATAAAACTTCCGGTAAGACCGGCAACACCGGCGATAACTTTCCCAGCTGCAGTGAATCTCATCATTTCTGAAAAAAAATCATGTATAATCTAGGACAAGATTAAAATCATGTATAATCTAGGACAAGATTAAAATACCCAACTGGGCTTTGGGCTCTGTACTAGAGTCCAGAAATGTTCTCTAGGAAATTACCGGGCTTTGGCTGCTACTACAAGAACCTACATTTAAATGGTCAATTTTCAGAATTAGATTCGCGGATTTTCTGTTTTTAATTTCGAGGAGTTCTAAAATATTACAATAAGAGAATAAGATATGTAACAAGATTGAAAATAACAAAAATCATCCAACGAATTATTAGTAAGTGCAGATTAAAAAGAAATTATAAAAAATAAACAGATTTAGGGTCTGTCCTAGTGAACTATTTTTTGCCCCCCCACCCCCTCCTTTCAATTTTGTACATGACCAAATTAGTATTTATTTAGCATTATTTAGGGTTAGGTTAGGTTAAGACACTTTCTGGGCCGAGCGCTGGGGCTAGGACAGGTTAGGGGGCCGAGCGCTGCGGCAACATGGTCAATTATATTGCCAACCCGACCATTATGGAAGCCAGAATCAGACTAAAGTTTTAAATCTTCAAAAAAGTTTGGCGGATTTTTGTGATTAAAATTGCGAGTTTCCTATGATTCAAATCAAAAAATATTTTTATCATTTTGACCTTTTGTCGTTTGACCCTTTGTCGCACTTTTGACCCTTTGTCGTTTGACCCTTTGTCGTTTGACCCT